TGTTTCCAAAAAGAAAAAAAAAAAAAAAAGAGGAAAAGAAAGAAAACAAATGACAACAAATGCTGGTGTGGCTATGAGGAAATGGGAACTTTTATCTACTATTGGTGGGAGTGAAAATTGGGGCATCCACTAAGGCAATCAGTGCGAAAGTTTCTCAAAGAGCCAAAAATAGGATTACCATATGATCCATCTCTACCACTCCTGGGAATATACCCAAAGGACCTCATATCCTCAACAGAGATACTTGCACATCCATGCCATCTGCTGTTTTATGCACAACAGCTAAGAGATAGCCAGCTCCCCTCGCATCCTGTGAGTTTATCTGGTTGATATAGTATAGGTCTTGTGCATGTTGTTACAGCTTCAGTGAGTTCATTATGTGCACCGCCCTGCCCTGTCCAGAACACACTGTTTCATGATAGTCACCCACTGCCTCTGTCCCTTCAAAGCTTTCTGCCCCATCTTCCAATGTTCAGCGTAGATGTTTATCAGTGGATGAATGGATGATAAAAATGTAGTATGTATTCATAATGCAATTGTATTCAACTGTGAAAAAATGAAATTAATTTCTAGATAAATGAATGGAACTGAAAAAATCATACTAAGTGTTATAACCTAGGCCCAGAAAGTAAAACACGTGTTCTCTCTCATATTCAGATCATAGTTTAAAATTTATATATCTGTGTGTTTAATTTCAATTCAATGTAAAGTCAGAAAGCTGAAAAAGGGACCATGAGAAATGGGTTTGTAGTGGATAGCTGCTCTATGACCTTGAAGCATTTCTACTGTGATGCCTCAGTAAAACCCCCCACTCTATCCCCTACAGACAAAGAGAAGCTTAAACCAGGATTCCTAAGTGTAGATAAGAACTTAGACCCCTTTTTCCCAGGTGGCTGTATCTGCTACAGGGACTTTGGAAAACACAGTCAGGAAATTCGACCAAAAGACTAAAAAGGGAGGTGGGTTAAAATAAATTATATGGTCTGTGCCTTTAAGAACTAGCCTCACAAAGAAAGGGGAGCACTCCTTCCAACCTCCCTGCTGTGAGTGAGAGATTTGGAAGAGCCTCCCTGGAGGCTTGTAAACTTAGAAAACACCTTACTTTTGCATTCTGTACCTAAAGTCTCCAGTGGCGGCTTTGGGGACGTGATCTAGGCACAAGGCCCTCACTCTATTGTCTCAAAAAGGGGGCCTTAGACAAGATAGACCCAGGCCAGTTTCAAGTCCCCAGAAATGATGGCGCCAGCCCCAGGAACAAAAGAACAGAGTCAGGATGTCTGATGGTAACCAATTAACCACGAGATGCTCCTCTCCGGAGATAACATGACCAGACCCCAGAGAGGAGTTGTAAAACTCCTGACAGGGCAAACAGATAAGCTAGAATAAGATAAAGTCCAGGCCCAGGAAAAACTGGACCAATCAAGGATGGACCCATACTAACCCCCTCCCCTCTAAGAAATTTTATGGGTTTTGCCTATAAAAACTAACTTCCCCAAGAAAGAGTAACTCTTCTCTGCCTCACTTGAGATGAGTTCCCTGTCATGACTTGTAACAGATAAACCTTGCTTTTGCATTCTGGTATGCTCGTCCTTGGTGGTCTCTCTGGGGGTTACGATATGGGCACAACACTACAATTATGTTAGTTAGGTTTCCAGATTTACAGAAACTTATATCAGATTGATAGGTAATCTTCAAACACTTCATAGACCTAGAAAATATGGCATTTAAATGCTTTGATAACTTGGAATTCTATTGACATGAGACATGATTGCTCCTGGCAGCATTGATCTACTCCTGAGAGAATGTTGGGCTTCTTCTTGGCACAAAATGACCTGCTGGGCAAAGAACTGCCCTTGCCTTGACTGCTGACAGTATGAACACTGTCCTTTCCAGATGACACAAGGAAAAGGGACAACTGAACCTTGCCAAGACAGGGTAAGATGGCTGTTCAAAATTCCTGCTTCTGAAAATGGTCTGTCAGATATTCTAGGCCTATAGCCAAAATGGATGACTCAACAATGCTGAGAAACTTTTAGGTGTCTGTCCAGGCCACCAGCTGTCTCTGTCTATTCCCGCAAAATTTTCAGAAACTACTTGCTTACATTTTCTGTTTGCTAAGGCATTATGATGTTCCTCTCAGGTCTTTGATGTAGTTGAAGACTAAATAGTTACAGTTATGATCCTCACATGTCTTAGCTAAGAACATTTCAGATACTAAAGTTAGATTTTTTTAGAATAGGACAGCTATTGGAGTAATCTCTATAACATGCCATTTACCTGTGTTCTGGATATCTCTGGATTTTAGTATATGTCTCGTGTTTGATGTTGTTCTTGCTGGTTGTATTTCTATTTTTGTTTAGGTTATTACCTTTCCCCTCTCCTGGACAATACTTGATAATTGTTCCTATTGTATATAGTTTTATATTAGGTTAGAACTTTCTTATTTAGACAAAAGGGAGAGATGTAGTGGATAGCTGTTCTATGACCTTGAAGCACTGCCCCCTTGAGATGCAGTAGGTAACCCTCTACCTGCCTATGACCCTGAAGTACATGCCCCCCTGGGGTGTAGCCTCTAGGCTACCTTTAAGACCTGAGATGCAGGTAGGCTAGGCAGTCTCTCATGGACTTGGATGCAGGACTGACTCAGTAGGTCAGAACAGCATGAGACTTTGCCCCAGCATTCCAGAACCTGCAACAATTCTGTTCTGTACAGTGAATTTTTCTCCCCTAATAAATTCCTTTTTTCTTTAAACAGATTCTGTGGACTTCTCGAATTATGGGGTGGTGGAAAAAAAGTACGTAAGGGGTGAGGGAATAGGATATATGTGAGATGATTTATGAAAAACTTATGGAAACCCACTACTTTGTAAAGTAATTTTAAAATACAATTAAGGGGATGGAGAGATGGCTCAGCACTTGCTGCTTTTGCAAAGGACCTAGGTTCAGTTTCCAAATCCTACATTAAGTTTCACAATTTTTTTTTTTTAAAATGAGGGAAGGGGTAAGCCCTGGGCTCCAGGAACCTCCATGCCATTCAGGCCTCCCTCCCTCTTTTTTTTTTTAATTAATTGATTTATTTTTATTTTATGTGCGTTGGTGTTTTGCCTGTGTGTGTCTGTGTGAGGGTCCCCTGGAACTGGAGTTACAGACAGTTGTGAGCTGCCATGTGGGTGCTGGGGATTGAACCCGGATCCTCTGGAAGAGCACTCAGTGCTCTTAACCGCTAAGCCATTCCTCAAGCCCCAAGTTTCACAATTGTCTGTAACTCTAGTTATAGAAGATCTGATGACCTTTTTGACCTTTTCTGTCCCCCCTTGGGAACCAAGTGCACACATGGTGTACATACCTACATACAAACAATCCAACATTTAAAAATACAAATGAATAAAACAAGACCAACTTGGCAAGAAATGCCTATTGGCACAATACTGGCACAAATATTATGGGAAACCAAACACTTTCTAATTGGATTGAAGGCCTACTCCACAAGACAGAACCCATACCTGCCACTGTTATCAGGGCCAAGAACTTGTGGCTAGACAGGCCAGGGCCTAGGAGAGAACCTACTACTGTTCTTCTACTAAAATGGACATAGTATTAGCCAACTCCTAAAAACTTTTTGTTATCCCCATACATTAGTGTATCTTTCAACCTTTGTCAGAGAAGCTTCTTTCTGCAGTAGATGTCAACTAATACAGATACACATCTGGTCAATGTGCAAAGAGACTGGGGAGTGACCTTTGCTAAATGGGACATCTATATAACACCCCTCCTCCTCTCAGGACTTGGGGATCATCTTGTAAAAGGGAGCAGAAAAGATTTTAAGTGCCAGAGTCAGTGAATGACAACAAGAAAGGTGTTTCCCAGACAATGAATTCACAGTAGTTGTGACGGCATACACAAGACCTGGGCAAGATCAAGCCAGACAAAATACTAGTATAGACTAGGAAAGTGGGCATGAAGTCCCACCCTTAACTAAAAAGCTACTGGCAGTGGATAGCTCCCAGGAAAGGGACAGTCAGTTTCTTCAGGGATTTGAGACATGAGAAGCTACAATTGTATTTTTAAATTTCTTTACAAAGTAGTGGGTTTCCACAAGGGTTTCTCATAAATCATCTCACATGTAGCCTATTCCTTCACCCCTTACGTACTTTTTCACCACCACTCCCCTTCTCATTGGGCCTTTTTCAGCTTCCTGACTTTACACTGAATTCAAATTAAATGCACAGATCTATAAATCTGAAACTAGGGTCCACATATGAGAGAAAACATATAATAAATGGTCCTACACCCATGAACATACAGACAGTATTAACTGGACTCAGTGGGTTTTCAAAAACAAAAAACAAAACAAGCTTGGTGGTGGTGGTGTGCACCTTTAATCCAGCACTCAAGAGGGAGGCAGAGGCAGGTGGATATCTGTGAATTCAAGGCCAGCCTGGTCTACAGAGCAAGTTCCTGGACAGCCAGCTATACAGAAAAACCCTGTCTCAAAAAATAAAAACAAACAAGAAACAAAAAACAAAACAGAACACATGAAGACAGAATTAACTTTTTTCTCTAGTTTGTTTTTGAGACAGTGAGACTATGTAGCCCCGGCTGGATTGGAACTCCCTCTTTAAACCAGGCTAGCCTCCGATTCAGAGATCTGTCTCCCGTGTGCTAGTTGGATTGAACGAATATGCTACTACACCTAGCCACAGATGGCTTTTAATAGTTAAGTTTACTTTTAAATTAACCACATAGAATTTCTGATGCTAAGATATAACAGCATTTAAAAAAAATTCAAGGGTTGGAAACCCAGCACTCTGCTGGCAGTGGCAGGAGGACTGCAGAGATGTCTGAGTAACCTGGCGAGCGCGGTCAGCAGACAAATGGGAAGTCTCACCCCAAGGATCGATCCCCTGCTGTGCAGTCTCTGCACACTTTGAAGATTTTATTGACCAATAGCTTTGCATACGTTAGCAGCATCAAAGAGAATTTACAACAGACCGTTTGACTTGAGATTTGGCAACTCATTAAATTTTATTTGTGACCCAAAATTAACAGGTCTTTCACAATCACTTTCAAACATACACAGCACAATGCAGAGGAAAACCGAACCATCAAGGCACATGCTCCCCTCTGAAATAAACAAGATGACTTCATTCCTCTTGTTTCAACTGTTATACCAGAAGTAAGTGTCCACTTGGCAATATATTTCATAGTCTTTTGCTTTTTCATTGTTGACTTCACTGATTAAAAAACAAATATAGTGGTAAAGTAGTATCTAACATTGCTGACCACATGAAGGATATGATCTGTGGAGAAAATGCACATGTTAGCTAAGCTGAATTCAGGTATGAGTTAGTGTTGTTATGAATTCAGTACTGATGAATTAACAGTATGTTTGCTACATAAGGTGTCTTTAAACAGAAACATTTATTAAACAAGGCTACATATTAATACACTGAAGAAATATGTGAGCAGTCTTGAAGGACCCTAACCTTGTGTTTTCCCTGGAAGCAGGTTCATTATTCAGCATACATTACTACATGAACCACTGGCCTTATAGAGCATGACTACTGTGGAAACATGAGGATTAGTTCACCAGCACACCTGAGGTAAGCCTTAGGAAGCCTACAAACAAAATTGAATGTATTATTAAAATTCATCTTGGGGACCAGAGTTTGGTTTTAAGCACCCACATCAATGGTTCACAACAGTCAGTTCCAGGGAACCCACAGGCATTGCACATGCTTGCACATGGGCACGCTCATGAGCACGCACATGCACGCGCGCGCGCGCACACACACAAATACATACACACAAAAAAACTTTAAAAACTAAAAAAAAAAAAAAAAACCAGGCATGGTATTACATGCCTGAATTTTCAGTACCTGAGAGATTGAATTCAAGGTCAACATGAGCTATATAGGGAATTCTATTCCAGCCAGGAATACAGAGCAAAACCCTTTCACTAAAGCCCACCAAAAATGCTTAAGACATCTCTGTTGTGGGATAATCTTTTTATACACTGTGAAGATGTGTCTCTTCCAAGGCACCTTCTGATTGGTTTAACAAAGAGCTGAACAGCCAATAACTAGGCAGGAGAGGATAGGCAGGATTTCTGGGGAGAGAGAAAGGAACTTGGGGGAAGAATCTGAGAAGCACAGAATTCACTAGTGAGACATAGAGGAAGTCAGATATACACTGTATTGAGGAAAGGTAGTAAGTCACATGACAGAATGTAGATTAACATAAACAGGTTAATTTAAAGTATAAGAGCTAGTTGGGAACAAGCTTAAGCTAAGGCCAAGTTTTCATACTTAATAAGAAGTCTCCATGTCATTATTTGGAAGCTGGCAGTCCAAAGAAAGTCCAACTACACATCTCCTCATTATCAGGAAAAGAAATAGAAGAATTAATAAATTTATTTTAAAATTCATTTTGATGAATACATGATCAAAAACTGTCAGTAAAATTATGGAGTTGGAGAGGGATACTTAGGCTAAGAGAATATACAATATACTATATCAATATAACAACAGACAGTTGAAGCTGAGCAGTGATGGCTCACACCTTTAATCCTAGCACTTGGGAGGGAGAGGCAGGCAGATCTCTGAGTTTGAGGCCAGTGTGGTCTACAGAGTGAGTTCTAGGACAGCCAGGGCTACACAGAGAAACCCTGTTTCAAAAACAAACAAACAAACAAACAAGTGAATATATCTACATCAAAGAATAGGGAAATAAGCATAATAGAAAAATGAAATACTATTACACAATGAAGAAATTTCAAATGACTGAGGAGTGTTAAATTATAACATTTTTCTTCACCATTCTGTAACATTTAAAAGGTTGACAAGGGCATGTATGGTTAAGGGGGATACTTTCACATCTTTAGGAATGACAATCAGTTACCTTATATGAAGACAACCTGGCAGTTTCTACAAAACTTTAAAATACTAATATTCTACAATTAACTTTTCCTGTTTACAGAATTTAATTCACTCTCAAAAAAAAAAAAAAAAAAAAAAAAAAAACCTTTACAGCCAAGTGTGGTGGCATACATCTTTATTTCCAGCACTTGGGAAACAGAGGCAGGTGGATCTCTGTGAGGTCAAGGCAAGCCTGTTTAGCAAGCTCCAGGTCAGTCAGGGATACGCAGTGAGATCCTTTTTCAAAAACAAAAAACAAAACAGAAATCATTCCACATGTATGCTAAGAGGTGGGTGTAAATATGTCCACTGTGGAGGGCCTGGGGAGATGGCTCAGTTGGTGACGTGTTTGCTTTATAAGCATTGAGGAACTGAGTTAAATAACCAGGACCCACATGAAGCTGAACATGGTGCCATGTACTTGTAATCCCAGCACCAGATTGCAAGTGGAGAAGAGTTCCTGAACACCCACTTGTAGCTGAAGAGTTGACAGTTAATGGCTTCTGGAGGAGGGAGGGTCAGTTTTCTTTAAGGGTGTGGCCCCTGCTAGGTTGTTCAAGCACCAGTGCCACACAATAAGTATGTGAGCAGCACAATTTGGTACCACAGGGTTATAGAAAAGGAAGAGGAGGAGAGGGAAGAGGGAGGGGAGGGGGAGAACAAAAACAGGAAGGGGAGAAGAGGAGAGGGAGGAGAGAAGTAGAAGAGGAGAAGGAAGAGGAAGAAGAAGACAAAAAGAGTTGGCAGAGGTGGGAGATAGATGAATCTGGAAAGAGTTAAGGGGCAGCGAGGGGAAGTAAATATGTAACAACAATTAATGAACAAAGAAGTCAGTATGGTCAGGCAGTGGTGTCAAATGCTTTTAATCCCAACACTCAGGAGGCAAGGACAGGCAGCTCTCTGTGAGTTTGAGGCCAGCCTGATCTACAATGCAAGTTCCAGGATAGCCAGGACTGTTACACAGAGAAACCTGTCTTGAAAAACCAGAGAGAGAAAGGGGATTCTTAGAATGACTTTTGG